GCAACCTTTCCACATATAAAATACTTTTCTAAAATAAAGCTTAAAACTGTCTTATATCTCAAAATGGATTGCTTCCTCTTCCAATTCCCAGAGTAAGGAATCCTACATCCCACTGTATTTGGCAGGAATTATAGATGCACTTGAGTTTCATTAGTATAAACATGGTAATTAAACATAGTAGTTTCAATAATATAAACATAGAAAATGCAATAATTAGTCAGGTTTTCCTTTGAAAATAGGCATCTCTTTCTCTAGAGAAAAAAGGAATTTTTCCAACTCTAAGGTACACTATATGACAAGAAATGCTGTATACTGCAATAACATCTAAACTACATCCTAACTGCATAGATTACTACCTTATTTACACTTTTAATGTTTCCAAGGTAAGATCTTTATCTTTAATGCTGTTGCTTTATTTGTGAAGAACATGAAACAAGGCAGAGAACCAGAAACAGCACAGTATGTTTGGACAGAGCAAACCAAATTCAGTCTTTTCATGCAAAGGCTACAGGATTTAAAACATGCAACTAAAGGTCCTATTACAAGGAACAACTACATTTGTGTGAAGAGACCTACAAACACAAGATCAACATCTGTAAAACTTTCACTGGCAAACTCTTAATTTCAACCACACACGCCTGCATTGGAAATAAATTTTCAGTTTCTTTATACTTCATCCAGGTGTAAAATAAACTACAGCTTTAGATTCTGTGGAGAAACTGTCAGAGATTTTTTGTTGTTTATTTGTAAATTATACCTATAGCGTGGAAATAATCTTTATGTTCTAATTTGTACAATACCTAGCACAATGTCAGCTAGTTCACAGCTTGGGCTTTAAAACATGATAGCAATGTAAGAAACAAACACTAAAAGCATACATCATTACAGAAAATCCAGCATCTCACACAGCGCGACATGAGCTACCTCCAAACTGGAAGCCATGCAAACACATTAGCATAGCTCTGTATTCAGCCTAGCAAGTCCAACATCTCAACAGGGATTATTAGTTTGAGCACAGCACTGCACTAACCTGCCTGTATAGCTTCCAGTCTGCCATGGGCTCACATCCCACTGGCTTGGAGCCTGGAAAGGTTGAGTCTGTCTGCAGAAGACTGTGCGAGAATACTCAGTTATTTAGAGTAACATGAGGTGCCATTCAGATACAGAATCTCCACCGAAATTCCACTAATTTCTACCACAATTAGTAGAATTTATTACTACCACAAATCTTCATATTAGCAAGTCAATCCAGATCCACTTGTAAACTACAGCTACTTTTTTCTGCTTTGGTGTAGCAGACTGGCCAGTATTCCCTAGAAGGTCTGCACCATTTTGGTACAGTAAATAAGCTGTTCAAAATTAAAACAAAAGAACTGAACTTTGCACCATTAAGATGCCCACCTAATTTTACGCAGCTTCAGATCATGAAAACACAGAGGAACATAATAGGAATAAGTAAAACCTTCCTAAAGCATTCCATGTATCTGTCTCTCAATGAGAAAATTTATTCCATGATGAAAGGTTACATAAAAACCAAAATGATCTTTCTGGATATGGACTGATAACATGGGGGAAAGAAAAGGCAATCATATGTTTTTAGTTTCTTAAGACCAAATATTACAAGTTCACAGTCAGAGCTAATAAACACATTAAAAGAAAGCAAATTAAGAGTTATATATGGAAACAGATCACTACATTATCTGAACAACATTCACTCTGTCTTGTGACAGTACAATAAGCAGAATAAACACATTAAAGAAATTACCAGATTTTTAGTCATAAACATTAAGTGCCTTAGACATAACTGTGTACTATTTCATGCTATTATTGAATGTAAAAAAAAAAAAACCCCCACATATAAGAGCAAAACCAGATATGTGCATTTCTTGATTCAACATTCTGAAATACATTCAGAGGTATAGAGAGAGCATCACTGCACTTTCTGTTACTGGTTTCATACCATATGCCTCTTAGAAATCACTGCAAGTACAACTTCTGAGGTTAGGGTCACAAACCACAGCCAGTTATTTAAATAAATAAATAATGCAAACAATAGTTTGGGAAGGGGGTGGGGGGGGGGAAGATTTCACTCTAGTGGAAGAAGGTAGGTAGATAAATCCTAGAGATTTGACATTTTCTACAATGCAGGAAACTAGCATAATCACTGTTTCCTTTGATGTTTCTTATCTGTTCCAAGATCACTGGTCATGTGTCAGCTCTCAATGTGACACATTAAGTGGCCTGTAAATCACAGAGCTGTCAGGATGAGATTTTTAACTGCAGAAGTGAGTCAAATTAAGGTAGTTCGGTAGCAGCTAAAATGAACAAAGTGCCAATTGTGACCTATTGACTTAAAAAAAGCCTGTGAGAATCAAAACCAGCGAGCAGCTAGCAGAGGGGCTTACTGCTTGCCAGAAGCTGTAGGTAGCATTCATTCCTTCCCTCCCAGTGTAGAGGGACTTGTCAACTCCACCTTTTCAAGTCAGGCAGAAATTGCAGTAAAATTCAAAGAAGGTCACCCCACCTAAAAAGCACAGCACTGTATTCTAAAAAAGAAATGTCTTCAGAGGGTTAATCTGGCATTCAAATGTTGGGCATCATCCACTTTGAACAATATGTTTTATGTAAGCATAAACCAAAACCATACCCTGTTTTCTACATCCCCACAATCTTGGATTATTTAGGTTACTGGCACAAAACTGCAGCTTTCTTGAGCATAGTCAGCCCCATGGGTCAACTTGATTCCTTTGAAATATTATTAGCTATAGTTTCTGAAATTGTAACTGCCTGCCACAGAAGTGTTTGTGAAGTTCCCTAGAATGAATCCAAATTTTATTTGTCATTGTCTAGTGTTATTTTTTTCCCCTCATTTATAAAGTTTTTTATTTTTAATTTGACAATGAATTTAAAGAGACTGCAAATAATTATTGTAATGCATGAAGCTGCAATCAGTACCTGAATTCCCATCATAACTTTCACACACAACTCCACCTCAAAATACAGTATTTTCTAAAACACTCTACCCCTTTCTGGTGACTGCAGCTAATCTTCAGGAACAGTGCCATAAGGCAGAAATGGACTTACAAATTAGACTTCAGCCTGAGCCAGCTGTTTTTTTCTAGTATTATTCCCTTTATGACCATCTGTCCCACCTGCTAGTATATTTTTTCACCCTCTCACACTCTCCACTACAATGATTTGCCATTCTGGCTGACATACAAATATTGATGGAAAGAAAACTGGATTAAATCCAACTTAGTGCCACCCAATATTTGGAGCTTTGGTAAGGCACCTGCTTGACTGCTGGTATAATTAGATCTGCCTTAAGTCTGCTTTAATTTATGCTCAGTTCACCTACGATCCTAACACTATCAGGGTTTATTGCCACTCTATCTTCCTTCTGGACTACGCCAATAAGTGGAAGGAAACAGTACAGTGTGGTTACACAGGAGTCTCCTCTCTGTAAAGCAATTTTTATTCTTAAATACACAAATCTGATGAGATTTATTTATTAAAGGTGAATTTAGAAAACAACCCTGCACTCCATACTTGTGAATTCTTGGAGTTTCAAAACTGGTTGCATGCCTGTTTCTGTTAACATTTCCCAAATCAGAGCTTCTGGCTGAAAACTCATCCTAAATCATCCTTCTTTAGCAGAATTACCAGAGAGACACAATGCAAAGAAATGAGGAAGAGAAGAACAGGGAAGGGTTGGGAATGGGGAAAAAGAAATTAAATGGCATGTTGCTACATAGTGAAATCCTGTAGTCATGGACTCTCAATAATTCTTTGCTGTTTCCAATGAGACTAGCATCAGAATAAATCTTATCAAGGAGTTCGACACATTTTCTGCAGCATTTGTTTTCTATATCTGGTTAAAGCTGGGCAACTAAAAGGAAAATAACTACTTAAGCATAATTCAAAGATTGCACAGCAGTGACACTGCCCAAAAAAATCAGGAAGAGCATGACAGTTACAAAGGTTATCATTATAATTTCATCTCGTTATACTGCTGACAACAGTCAGCAATAACAGGAAGGGAACTGCTGAAAAAGCACAAGTGAGGTCATCTTTTTCTGGGTACTATCTTTAAACATCTGCAAAATATAGATGAGGCTTTTTAAAAATTGTAAAGCAGAGCAAGAAAGGAGGATAAAGAATTACAGATGTGTGGCGTAAGGAATAAAGGCAAAGAAGTATAAAAAAAGAGGTTAAAAAAAGGGAATGAGGACAGAAAGTAGAATTGAAAAGAGCACATGCTGACAGGCTTTAATTCCCCAACAGAAAATGAAAAGTCGACATCTGTGTGCATACAGTGCTTAAAATGAGCTCTTACTTGCTAGCACTGCATTCAGGAAGGAGGCAAAGAGTGATATCTTAACCAAGCTCAGTTCTAAGCATATGATTAAAATATATATATATATTTATTTTTTTTAAAAAAAAGAGGGATTCAATTTCATGTCAGTTCCTGGCAGCTGCTCAGCATTCCTCACTATCACAGCCCTGTTCACTCGTTGAGTGCTGATAATGTGCCAGAGCTGCGGTGTGCTTTGGAGTCCTTTGGAGATCCTTAGCTCTGCAACTTGGAGACCAGATGGAAAAACCTACTTTTAAACATCATTCATAATGCCAAAGTTTAACAAATAGAATTATATAGACTTTGTTTGGAAAAAAAAAATATAATTGGGGAATTGATCTTTATTTCTATTGCTTTTGAATCAGCTAAGAGTTAAAAATAAAATCACCTATACCATTTTAATTTGTGCTTAATGACTACTTGCCTTTAGCAAGTACCTGAAACAATAATAAATTAAAGTTCTTCTAACATTCTTAATTTCTGCATTGAAAACACTTTCAACAAACGCAACTTACAGAATTGTGAAGTTCAAGTGTGTCAGCAGCTATGAACACCTGCACAATAATCACTGCCATGTTACAGATGCTGTCTGGCACCATCTACTGAAGTGCTCCAGACACTCATCTTCTAACAAACAACATACCTTGAAAGATTCAGTCACATGCTTTGCTGTTTCAGCCGAACATCCTCCAGCTGTGCACTCATTCTGACAGCCCTAGAAGAAATAAAACCAGAAAATAAATAAAGTAAATTTTAAAATGCAATGCACACCGCAGAAAAGTGGATACACGTTCAGGTAAATTATTTTAGGGAGAGATTGTATTGAATGATCACTCAGACTTCATCATCAGTAAATATATTAGCAAAAACTTTTTGGTACTTTCTTAGCACAACTTTCTACCTTTGAGGTTTTTAGTTTTACTTCAGTTGTATTATTTTGCACAACTGTATTTAAGGTTTTATAGGAGAGATAACAGATTAGATTATTGCTCGGAAGTGCAGAAGGGTATGGACAACATCACAAGTCCTAAATTCAAGGGTGAATAAATAACTTGTGTTTTTACACAATTCCATCAGATCCAAGTTTCTGTGCTGAAGCATCCACCTAACAAATTTGCTTCTGCTCTTTCTCATAAGAAGCCTGACTAGGCAGAATGGAAGAAAAAGAGAAAGAATTGGTTTTGTTCAATATATAATCAGAATATTTTGAATTACCTACTGTGTGGAATTTAAGAGTCCTGCCACTGACCATACTAGAAAGGAACTGAATGGAAAGGAGTGATAGTTCTATGCATCCTTCTGTTCAACAATACAAGGGTAACACAGATGGGTGCAAGCCATCTTCCTAAAAGCAAGGTCCTCGGTATCATAGCATCAGGCTAGCAGCTTTGTGGACCCTCCTGCACTAGCCAGACCTTCCTTGCCAGTGGCGAGTAAAAGCAAGTTACACCTAACAGCATGGAGTGAAGACAACAAACACAGCCCTGCCAGAATTGCTTGTTTCAGAACAGTCTTTAAGAAAGAGCTGGGAAGGTGCAGAAGGGACAGAGGTTTGGGAGAGGGAGGAATGTGCCAGAAGCAAGACTATCTGGGGGATGGGCCATGGAGGGGATGGCTCAGAGGATGGCTGAAGGGAAGCACAACTGGCCAGACGGAGGGGATGGCAGAAGGGTCGGCTAGCTGCCGAGATGAGGCCAGCATAGGAAAACAGTCCGGCTGGTCAGAGGGGCTGTCTAAGGGGTTGAAGGAAAGACAGGCACCAAGAGATGTTGTTGCCAGGTCTGACAGGCAAGGGCTTTGCAACCCTACAAGGGACAAGCACTAGAAGGAGCCTGCACTGGTGGATGGCCATTTGGTGGCCGGCTGTAACCCTGTCACCCCTCTGCCTTGCTGCATCTTCAGTGGGATGTCTCAGCCCAGGTGGGAAAGCCCCAGGCCAAAGGTAGAATCCCCTTGAAGGAAAGAAGTGCACAGGAAATCCTTCACGGTCAGCCTGTGAGATCCCTGCCCCAAGCTATTAACCAGGGAGTAGCCTTCACCCTGCAAGGAGGGCTGCGTGTAGGGTGGGCGGTAGTGCCATGGAGACACCAGCACCACCACAGTCCTCCAGCAGCCACCATCCTTCTGGGGCCAGGACTGGGGCCGCGTGGCTCACGGTCTGTGAGGTATGACACACAAAAGCCAAATAACACGATTTTTCTTTTCCCCTTTTTGCAAATCTTGGGGATATGGTAGATGGAGGGGGTAGGGAAGGTAAGTGGTATCTTCAGTGTGCCTTTAACAGACAGCAGGCTTGCAACCAACAAAAGAAAAAGCAAACTGCCAGCCACAGCAGATCTCACTTCCTCTCCTCTCCAACGCCCCAGGGAGGCCAGAACATCCATCCTGCCTTTTCTCACCATCAGCTTTAACCCTTCTGTTCCTTTTTTTCCCCCCCTCCCCCTAAATCTCTACAGTGAGACATGCAATCACAGCTACAGGCTCCTTCCTATCAACTGAAGGAGGATCTGCTGAGAGAAATCACAAGTCCGTTTACAAGGACCAATATACTTTACCTTTAAACCTCATTAAAATTATGTTTTATTTGCCTTAAAGCTTCGGGATTTTTCCTCCAGAAAGACAAGCCTTTTTGGTAAAGTCTGTTCAGTGGCATTCAGTGTCAGACACAAGCAGGACTAAAGTGTTACCCAAACTGAGGAACAGTCTAAGCACTGTAGAACAGGTCCTTACTTTCCCTGTAATTCTTCAAATACTTCTAAATTCAGTGGTAAAATCCCAGAAGGCCTTCGTGACACCGTCAGTTTGTAATAATTAAGTATTCCGGAGATGAATTAAACCAACTGGTTTTTCTTTGTGCTGCGGTGAATTAGGATGGAGAGAGTGCTGGTTACCAGATCACAGGACGGTAACTGCCAGTTGTGGAGGAAGAATTTCTCAAGCAGCTCCAGGTCCATTGCTGGCTTTTGTCCAGTATCCAGTATGCACAGTTGGATTTTCTAAGAATAATTACTGGTGACAGGAAATACTGACACTCAGCCATTATGCTTCAGTTTCTTTCCACCTCTGCTTTATGAAGTTACCCTAAAGCAAGTGTTGGCATCACCACAGAGAAGACAAAGCTGGATGTAGCTTAATATTCTCTTTCATGATCTTTAAAAAGATACAAAACACATATGTGAATTTCAAGTGTGGACCACCTACAGGAACAGCCCTCAGGGGCTCAGTTGTGTTGCCCTTCAGTTCAAGGTTCCCACTGAACTCAATGAAGTCATCAGACCATTTACTGGGCATATGCCATGAGGCCAGTCCTGTTCTCCATGAAGTCATTATGCTTTACAGATTTAACTCATATTTAAAGCAAATAGCTAACTGCCTTTGTTAACCACACTGAGATTAAACTGAGTTAATCTCAGAGCACTAGAAAGGCAGACCACAATTACTTTCTAATTGATGGAGTCATATTTTAATGGCTCCGTGGCTTTTAGATCTGAAACACTGTTAAATGCAATAGGGAAAATTACTCCCTGGTTAAATGCCAACATTGCCAAGGGAGATATGCTAAGCATAAATTTGCCCTTTGTGTTTAATAGCGTGGTAGATTTAAAACTGCATCCATTAAAACACTGATGTTATCCTAAAGATACACTTGAACCACCGGGTCAATGTCTCCTCAAAAGTCACCCAAGTCTGTATCAAGTTGCTATGCAATTACACAAGCACAACAGTATTTCCCATGTGACAGTGTAAAGTCAACATTTTCTTTATGGTACAAGTAACTGATTTTTCTAAATTGTAAGTGGGACACTTCCACAGTTTTTCTTCAAAGATATTGAAATTGCACACCGATTTTATCATTACTGTAAAGATTGTATGAGAAACAAAAGTGGAAAGCATTACACTAGATTAAATTTTGTTGGAAAATGGGGTTTATATGTCATTGTATCACTGAGAAACACTACTAAAATAAAGACTTGGTGATGAGTAATTCTGTCTTTACTTTTACAGAAGATCTCAATGTTATAATATATTGCAAATCCTTCAGCATTTACAAAAGTAATCACAATATATTCAGTTGGATAATTGTGCTCCCTCACATTAGCACTTACTTCCAATCTAACTCTTATATAAAGAAGATGTAAGCCTTAGGGGGGGGGTGAGTCCCCTCCCAACATGTGAAGGACCATTGTATGTCTAACACTTACCAGCACTTAACAGTTTTCATCTGCACTTCTTTCTAGACCTTTCCTAAACCTGAACATACAACTCCTGCATTTGGTCCTCAGATTGCATTAGACATATTTTCAATATCTTTTATCATCAGGATGCTCCAATCAAAGCCTCTAAACTGCAGTTCTACCAGATCCTTTGTTAAACTGCTGTCCTTAGGTTTTAGCTACCTCATTATCCCAGAGGCTCATCCTCAGTTATGAAATAGTTCTGAAGATTATCAGAAGCTTCATCACTGTAAACTGAAGCTGCAAACTGCACTTCTTTAACCTGTGGTGTATGACATTGTTTAAACCTAAAAAAAATGGCACCAGTTCTCAAAAACAATTTTGCAGTTACCTCTATGTCATGTACTTTGTCACCCTTTTTCAAAACAAAAACTCTTTAATCACTTCTGTGCTCATTTAATTTTCCCTGTTGTTTGATAACTCTTCTCAACACTGGGGAACAGAAAACTTTCCCTAGTGGAAAGCAGGAGTAAAGAAATAAATTGCAAATAATTGCCACAGAGTTCACACTTTCAGCTAGGAAATCATATTGGCTACTTTTCAAAAAAGAAAAAGAAAAAAAGAAAAAAAAGATTTGCAGTTTCACAAAATCCTTAGTCATCTTTTTGGTCTCTCCAGTGTATTCTTATCCGAGTCAGCTCACAGGCAGCTCTGATGTCTCCACTCTGAGTGAGAATTTCAACAGCACCAGTGCCCTAGTTAGAGTACTACCAGTGACAGGGAACATGTGAAAACCCAGTTTCATGCCTGAAAAAAAAAAATTGCAGACAGTGCTTTGTTGGCAGATGTTAGCTACTCATGGAGGATGAGAACCTAAAGTAAATAAGCCACAGATACACAGCTATGTCTGCATGTAGCTCCTTCCACTGAGGCAACCCCACCTCCTGCTATGCAGAGATACTTAAACCCAAGACTACCCTGGAGCAGCCATCGGGCCCCAGTGAAGATGGAGTGGGAGTTTCCTCTCAGGCAGAAGTCATATGAAAAAGTTTTCAATAAAGAAAGGCCTTTCTGAGATATTTCTCCAAGTTAAGACAGTGTCTTAATGTTTTTCCCCATGCTTGCTTCTGGTTACTAATATTTCATGCTCTAATTTACACAGTGAGAATAATGAAATCAGTATACTTATGGGACTCAGGAATCTAGCAGATCAATAAATTCAATATATGACTTATACTCTGGTACTGCCTACAGATGAGTCAAATCAGGTGTGTGATGACAGGTACTTCAGCATTCAAAGCCATACAAATCAGAGTTGCCTTTCTGCTCCAGGTATGAAACAGAGTCCAACGTGCACAAATGGCACATATTCTGTGTATTGCTACAGTCACAGAAAACACTTCCATGACTTCAAAACAGTTTTCATCTGCCCCCAGGAAATGTTAATAGAATTTGGCAGCCGCACCACATAAAAGATGAATTTGCAGAAAAAAAAAAAAACCACCCAAACAGTAATGATGTTCATAGCTTTAAAAAAAAAATCCACCCACTGTCAGACTGAGAGAGAAATTCAGAATATTGCTGTAGGGCCAAGTCATATAATGCTATTTTTAATATCAACCAAAGAGATATTTACTTAACGATCTTTATGAAAGACTTCCAGAGCTCAGGAAGCTCATTTATGGAATCTAACAGCCAGACAAATTTACCTTCATTGTCGTGGGAGTAGTTGCATGATATAAAAATATTTTAATACTATCTATATATTGTATATATCTGAGCATGAACATAGATATACATAGGTGTTACCATTCAAGTGTCACCACATACATTCATTGGGCTGGGTCCTTCACAAAATAGCATGGCATGCCTTATTCATATTTAAATCTTTTAAAATCTTTTAAATCTACACTTTTCAAAAATCAAGACAGAAGGAGCAAAAAGACCAATTCTTAAATGGCATTTCTAACCACTCATCAAACCAAAACGATGATCTTTGTGGTATCTCTGTTTGTTAGGTTGGAGCACTCTCCATGCATTTATTGGCTTGCCAGTCTGCAATGATGAATTCAAAGAACATGGACAGCACAAATCTCAGGACAACTCCAGTGATACACCTCAGTGCATGTACAGATCCACACATCAGCACTCAGGGAAAACAAACAAACAAACAAAAAAAGCAACCCAACTCAACCACCAACCAAACAAAAGCAACCCAACTCAACCACCAACCAAACAAAAGCAACCCAACTCAACCACCAACCAAACAAAAGCAACCCAACTCAACCAACCAAACAAACAAAAGCAACCCAACTCAACCAAACAAACAAAGAGGACAATTTGGTATATGGAGTTTCAGTGCTCAGCTTTTTACTTAACTCGCTAAGAATTCTCATTTCTATTGCTTTCTGCACTTCCAGTACATCTCTATGTCTACTCTTACCCAACATGTATCTGCCCTGCTGCCCTATCAGCATCTTGCTGTGGCTGCTTGTTCAACCTTAAGCAACACTAATGTTGGTTAAACAGTGAGGCAGGGTAATAACAACATACAATAAAGAAAAATACAAGGTAACTAGCGTAGCAGAAAAAGCAAGCTTTCACATTATTGAATGATAATTCTTCCTCAGAGTGAAAGTGTCAGGGCTTAGAACATACAAGAGTTTCTTTATCTAAGAAAGCTGCATTGCCTAAAGTAAGGCTGCATTTCAGTAGATTATCATTAAATTAGTCCAAAAGAATTTGCAGGCACTTATCTTCTGGCTTGAGAAGTTTATTTAGTTTAATTTAAAGCAATTTAAGTAGTTTGAAAGATGCTCCTCTTCAAACAAGTATCACTGTTTTTATTATGTTTAAATAAAAGACAATTCAGATTATACAACCACAACTTATTGGTTAGAAAAACCTTAAAACGGAGAACACAGAAATAGAAATATTCAGCTAGTCCATCCAATATTCACATTTAGTAACCTTTATGGTTATATCACAACTCTAAAAGCAGATCAAGTTGGTTTCATGAGATTAAATAAATGCAGGACAATGTTGCCAAAGTCAAGTCATTGCAGTCAGCACTCAAGTGAGAAACACCTCTAGGAAATAATGCCAATTTTTTGACTCAGTGCTTAAATTACTATTTGAATTAGTTCAGTAATGCCTAACCTGTGGCACAAGACAGCTTGTAACACTTCACCTGAAAGGCAGCAGAGCTAGGCAAGGTGAAGGATAACTACTTCTGAAATCCAAAAAGAAACTGGATTATCGAGAAGGTTAAAGGGAAGAAAAGAGTTCACCACAAATAGAAAATAGAACCATTTGTTGTAACTAATTCTAAGGAGAACCTGAGCAGGGATCTATTCAGCTTCAGGCTAAAATTATTTTGACAGATATTTCAGAAAATTTACAACATGAGCTGTGAATTATACAACATGGAGTCTGAAGTGTGATCCTTCTCAGATAAAAAAAATATTGAAAATCTATCAAAAGATATAAAGCTGTTGTACATCTCTGCATGATGTCCCTTTATTCAATAGTTAGTTCTGTCTTAATACATTTCCTGCACAACCATATAATCCTCCTCCCTAGTTTCTTTACAGAAATAAGCAAGTACCCTGAAGAAATCCTCTTGGCAAATGACCTCCAAATGCAATGTGCTTTAACCTTGATTTCTAAGCCCACTGCTTATACTTTTCTTGGCTTGTTTTGTTTGTTTTTTCTTCCTATCTTGTTGCTCTGTCACTCCCCAGTGCCATTTTCTTCTGTCTTTACCCTCTTGCTCAACTCTATCAACCCTTCCCTTCAGATTGAGGAAAACAGCCTTGTACTATGAGGGGAACAGGCAGATGACCTAATGGAGCTCTTCCATCTCTAACTCCGAGGAACAGTGCCTCTAAGTACCTCTTTTGTTGGTTTGTTTGTCCGCTCTAGCATTAATTAGGTTTTTAACAAGTGCATTGTTTGCTAGAATGTCATAAAGAAAAACATGTTAAAGCAACCAGCTGGATCTAGTTGACCCATAAATTCACCCGCCTGTTTTCTAACCAGATAGTGTCTCGTGGCTATGTAATATGGTTATTGCTCAAACAAAGCAAAGGAAAATTCTCAAAGTCACTTTGGTTTTATTGTGTTTAGGCCCAGTTCTCATTGATATGGGAT